GCGAACATGGGTCCAGGAGGCATCGTGGCGGAACACGTGTGATGCCACGAGGCATGCCATGGCTCGATCCGAACCAGCCCTGAAGCACAGGGCTGCGTACAGGCGTGCCCCCGTGAAGGCTCGAGCCGTAACGCCTAAAATTCCCCACTCCCGGACTGCTGGTTCCCTGGTCGCTTGGTCCTTTGGTACCTTTGTCCTGGTTGCTTGGTCTGGTCCCTTGGTCTTGGTCCCTCTCTGGTCCCTTGGTCCCTCTCTCGTCCCTTGGTCCTCTGGTCCCTTGGTCCTCTGGTCCTTTGGTCCTCTGGTCCTTTGGTCCTTCGTCCTGGTCTTCGCGTCCTTGGGTGTGTAGTTTCGAGGCAAGACGCGTTCAAGGTGATTTGTGAAGCACCGTGGCAGACCTTTTATCGCCAGACGTAGCAGACCTTTTTTGTGAGCCACCCTGACGGTAAAATTTAGACGAAGAAAATGTCAACCCAAGGTAGCAAACCTTTTGTGAGCCACCTGAGGGCAACATCTTGAAGAGGAAGGAGCCATTCCAACGTTGCAGACCTTTTGTTAGCCTTGCAAGGTTTAAACTTAGAGGAAGAAGTTGCCATACCAACGTAGCAGGCCTTTGTTTTGTGAGCAACCCGAAGGTAGAACTTGCTATTCCAACGTAGCAGACCTTTTGTGAGCCACCCGGGGATAAACTTTTGGCGCCACGCCAAGGTAGCAGACCTTTTGTGAGCAAGATTTAGAGGAGCAGTAGACCTTTTGTGAGCCATGCGAGGGCAAAATTTACAGGAGCAGAGCTGTTGTCAGCATAAACTTTAGAGGAGGAAGGTGCCATTCCAACATAGCAGACCTTTTGTGAGCAATCCACAGGTCTTGTGGTTTTGTGAGCCATCGTGAAATCCAGAGAGATCACGGTTGAGATGCAGAGAGGTCTACATCTACAAAGATCCAGAGGCCTGGAGGTCCAGACGGATCTGCAGGTGTAGAGGCCTAGAAACCCACAGACCTAAAGATGGAGGTTTAGAGGTCTTGAGTCTTGAGATCCAGGGAGGTGTTGAAATCTAAGTTCTAGGGGTCTAGACTTGCAGAGGGTGCAGAAAGATGTTCAGATCCAGAGATATCAAGAGCTCTTTTCACAGGTCTTGAAATCCACAGAATTTTGCAAACGCCACGCAAACTGCACTTCAAGGTTCGCAATCGCTGCGCTTGCCACGAAGTCTGCGCTTATAGACAGAGGTTCACGCAATCTGCGCTTCGAGGTTCACGAAGTGCTGCGCCTGCCACGAAATCTGAAGTTCCAGTGCACCACGAAATCTGCTACTGGAGCTGCTCAAAGTGCTGCGCGCGCCACGAAATCTGCGCATCCAGATTCACATCGCGCAGCGCTTCCAAGGTAGTTTGCAGTGGCAGGCGCAGCTCTTTGTGAGAGATATTTTGTTCTTGATACAAATTAATCTTTCTTTTGACAGGATATAGAAATTTATTTTCTTTTTGATAGCCCGGCCTGAAACAAAGTTGTGCGTCTCTTAAGACACTGTAGTCTTGTGGAAAGGATGTGATCTGTGAGGGCAGGAGAGGGAACAGAATGCGTTGGGCTAGCTCTGTGGGCGTCACAGTAGCCAGGCGCAAAGGGCACCCCATATGGGGTGGGAGTTTATGTGGAAGACATGCATAGCGGAGGAGGACGTGATTGGCAAAGAGTGATTTGCAAGAAATCTTTGCGTTTCTTGGGGCCCTTTTTTATGGCGAAGGCGCCCCTTAACCATACGCAAAAGGGCACCCCATATGGGGTGCGAGTTCATGTGGAGGATAGGCACAGAGGGGGGGCTCTTTGCCCGATGTGACACGCTCACTTGATCTTGGCTCTCACTGACGTCGAGGTGCCCCTTTCTCTCTTCCAAACGCCCCTTCATCCACAAGAACAAAAACACCCCGCCCCCCACCTGTGACTGAAGGCCTATCATGTCGGCCCCGCCTTATGCCTCCCAACGCTTCCCCTGCGCTCTCGCACTCAACCCCGATGACTAATTCATGTCTCCTTTCAGAGGCTGGCTTTCGTCCCCCCCTTCTCAGGTGTGTGTATATATATATATGCACAGTTATTGGTGACTTTGCCGGCCAACAGGCTGATGGATGTGCCGATGGCTCAAGCTTGAGCTAGACCGGAAAGCGTTGGGTGGACGGCTGCGGTGCAAAAGGTTGCAGCGTTGCACCAGCCTTGCTGCAATGGGTAAAATCCCAGCTTTGACTTTGAGTGGCAATTCAGATGATGTCAGGACCAAGATGGTTCTGGTGGCTGCCAAAGCAGCAGGCGTGGACTTGAAATTTGAAGCTAAAGCAGGAGTGCCCTCCATCCAGTATGGGATGAAGACCATCAAATACACCGGAGCGATGCTTCGTTTCGTGGGGAAGTGCCTTGAAGACACAGAGGTCTACGGAAACACCTTCTTTGAGTCGGCTGAGGTTGATATGTGGCTCGATTGGAGTTTGATGGAGTTGGAAGATCCTCCAGCAGACTTGGAGCGGGTCCTGAAAGTCTTGGAGAAACATTTGGATCAACGTACCTTTGTGGTGGGTCAGCGATTCACCTTGGCAGATGTGGCTGCCAGCATTCCACTCATTCACTTGGAACAGCAAGGAAAGGTGACAGCCTTGGGCACAGCCACAAAGAGATGGCTGAACACCTGCAAGGAGGCCGATCCAGTGAAAAACATTTTGGGATCACACTCCCCGCCGAAGACAGCACAGCCGGTTGTACCCAGCCGGCCTGCAGCAGCTTCTGCTACTACTTCCATCGCTTCCACCCCCTTGATTGATCCCTACAGCAGTAGTGTACGTGGTCGGACCGAGATCAAAAAAATTTTGGCCGCAGAAGATGGTGGTAAAGGTTTGATTGGGCAGAAGATCAGTGTTTGCGGCTGGGTGAAGACTGTGCGGGAGGCCGAGAAGGGGAAGTTGTGCTTTGTCCAGCTGAATGATGGTTCTGTGCCGCTAGACATTCAAGTTGTGATTCATTCGGAAGCGAAAGGATTTGATACTTTAAAGGGGAAGGTGGGCACTGGTGCATCTATGAAGTGTATTGGGCAAATTGTAGAGTCTCCTGGTCGCGGCCAAGCAGTAGAGCTCTCAGTCAAGGATTCTGGTGAGGTCATTCTTTTTGGTGGTGTCGATGCCAAGGATTATCCTTTGTCGAAGAAAGGCCACAGTCACGAGTTCCTGAGATCCATTGCACATCTCCGGCCCAGGTCCAATCTCATTGGTTGTGTGGCTCGTGTGAGGGCAGCTTTGGCACAAGCAACACATGAGTTTTTCAGGTCCAATGGTTTCCTTTACGTTCACACGCCACTCATCACCGCGGCAGACTGTGAAGGGGCCGGGGAGATGTTCCAAGTAACGACAATGATGGCCGAGGCAGAGAAGGACGGCAAGCCGCTCCCCATGGTGAATGGTAAATTTGACTACTCGAAGGATTTCTTCCAAAAGCCAGCCTTTTTGACTGTGAGCGGGCAGCTCTCCGTGGAAAACTATTGCTGCTCTTTGTCAAAAGTCTACACCTTTGGTCCAACTTTCAGGGCAGAGAACTCTCATACCTCAAGGCACCTTGCAGAGTTCTGGATGATTGAACCTGAGTTAGCCTTTGCAGACATTTTTGATGACATGAACATTGCAGAGGACTACCTGAAGTACTGTGTCTCCTATGCAATGACGCACAACCGTGCGGATTTAGATTTCTTTGAAGACAAGATCGAGAAAGGGCTGATCAAGCGCTTGGAGAACCTTTTGGCTGAGCCGTTTGCTCGGTTGACCTACACAGAAGCCATTGATATTTTGATCAAAGAGTCACCGAAGGCTGGCTTTGGGGTACCCGTTGAGTGGGGCATGGATTTGGGCTCCGAACACGAGCGGTACCTAGCGGAGAAGGTCTACAAGAAGCCAGTGATCCTCTACAACTATCCGAAGGACATCAAGGCCTTCTACATGAGATTGAATGAAGACAATCGCACGGTGGCAGCTATGGATGTCCTGGCTCCGGCTATTGGCGAAGTCATCGGAGGCTCCCAGAGAGAAGAAAGGCTTGATGTTTTGGACAGAAGGATAACAGAAATGGGTTTGGAGCCAAAGGACTACTGGTGGTACAGAGATTTGCGCCGTTTTGGCTCGGTGCCGCACAGTGGCTTTGGCCTTGGCTTTGAGCGATTGATTATGTTGACCACCGGCGTGGAGAACATCCGCGATGTGATACCGTATCCACGGTATCCCGGACACGCGGAGTTCTAATGTGCTGGAGCCGCCACAGATTGTAAGCGCGGGAAAAGTGAAAAGGTCACAAAGTGCAAGTGTGTTGGTTGTTCATGTCAGCTTTCTAGTGCATGTATATATAGCATTTCAGAAATTCGCTCACTGACATCGCATTTCAACTGCTTTCTCTTGTAGGTCCTTTGACAATGAAATCCTTCATGCCTGCCTATGACCTCATTGGATTTGACCCATGGGTGCCGCGCACGAGTTTGTAGAGGGTGGAGTATTCACCTGGCCTACTTCATGTCGCTCTTGAAGCGATATTATGATTGTACAAGTGGGCTGCGGGCTGCTGGCCAGGTAATTTCATTATATATCTATATACGTATTATATGTGATGATGGGTTCAGCCTAAACAATAGGCACTTGCAGGTACCAGGCTCTTGGCATTTTTCGACACCGGTCTAAAGGAGCTGTGTTGAAGTGTTGTTTTGGCTTTTCTGGCTTCGTAGCTGAAGTTGAACCAGGCATGAGAATGAGGCCACAAGATGATGCGAACACGAACTGGTTGAACATTCAGCTGAAAATGTGTTTGGCACAGCAGGTAGGGAGAGCTTTCAACTGATCGGACGCCGATTGGCCCCGTGGGCCTTTTCTTAGCACAAACACGCACTTTTGTGGCATTCTTGACTGGGGGTCCCGTTTTCTGCTCCCAGAGCGTCGATGGGAGACAAAACAAGAGACAGTATATAAAGCAAGTCAAAAAACGAAAAACGTGTGCTGCGCGTGCTGCGCGTTGCCATGGTGGCCTTGGTCCCATCAGAGGTTCTGGCGGCGCCACTGCCTCGACAAAAGATGTGACAGACATGATGTAATGTAATGCTGCACTCGGACAAGGTGCTTAGTGGTGCCAGACATGCAAGCATGGACAAATGGTTTTGTGCGATGAACACACTAAATCACTAAGCCTTCACGTGGTGAACACGTGTTTCACAGTGAGGGGGTGATCAGAACTAGGCCGCCCTCGCGGGAAGACGGCATCGATGAGGACTCTGAGGCGTGCTCCCTGAAACTAAACTCTTTTTTTGCGAAAAAGCTCCTAGTAGCATCCTTGCGGCCAGGAGCCCCTAGTAGCGTCCTTGCCCCTAGTAGTGATGACCTTTGTTCCTAGTAGCATCCTCTACCCCTCAGAACAACTGAGAACAACCATTGCACGTAGTCTTAGTTAAGGTTGTAACTCGCTGGTTCAGGATCAGCTGAGAAGATTTGGAGCACACCTGATCCAAAGAGCCCTTTGGCAGACATGGATGGACATAGGTGAATAGAAGCAGCAACATGTTGGACTTCATTGCGAGTCATGTAAAACTTGTTGTCGGGCTGTGTGTGCTGTGCATTTTGAGCCCTTCACAGTGGCAATGTCCACCTTTGGGTTGACGTGAGGCAGGCGTTTTATTGAGACTTCCGCAGCTCACAGTCGTTGCTGCAGCTGCCTTGTTGAGGGCTTGGCTTTGTTAAAGTGGATTGCTTGAAGATCAGATCATAGGGAAAAGCATGCGCTGAAGTTGATGTTTGATATGATCAAATTCCAACTCTCGGAGATGAGACAGTCTGCAAAGATTCCTGCTTTGACTTTCCTCATGCGAACCACCCTAGCCAGCCTGGAAATCAGGATGTGAAGACTCGCTCGTGATGGGTTGCAACTGGTCACTGACATGATTTCCATTTACCTCGCTGAGGTTCCAGCGCTTTTACTTCCGAAAGTCCTTTGCCGAGTTCGAGGTGCGAGTGCTGGCGATGGCGGCGGTGACGCTGGCCAGCAAGTCTCTAGGGCCGCAGCGAGATGTGTTTGCTTCCGTGCTTCCTTTAGGCTTCTGAGGAATCGACTAAGGGCAAGAAGGACCACTGAGGAATCGATTAAGGTGATGAAAGTTGAACGTAGCGATTTTCAAAAGATCCCTCTCCAACTAACATCAACTAACCATTCTACACACTTTAAGAACAGAACATGTTCTCACATTAAGTTTGCCTCGCTTACCAAAGCCTTTATCTAAGGCTACAAGAGCACCCACGAAAGGTGGTGGAGGTGGGACGAGATGAGGAAGGGCAACAGACTGTGCACAGATCAGGAAGGGTCCTGTAGTTGGGCTCCGAGAGGAGAAGCAGAGCAGTTGTCGCGCTTGTCCTTTCTGCAGTTTCCCTGCGAATGTTTTTGAGAAGAGTTTACTGTACCCCAAACACATAGGCACCATCTTCCAATGGCTTTCAACTCAATGAGGCAACACAGTGGGGGCAGGAATGCAGTTCACGCTTCAGCTGACTTAAATGTGCTTGCAAAGACTTGGCAAGCAGGATACTTGAGTGCCATGAAAAGTTTTTTAGCCCTTGCTGGTGACAAAGTGGCCTGTGAGGTAATCCAGGTCTTCTACCGGCTAAAGATGCGTGAAGTGGAGGTGCAGAAACTGGCTGAACCGTTGCTCACAGAGACTGTTGCATGTTGCTCACAGGCTTTAGCTTTATTCTGATGTTCCATTTTTGGCACAGTCAAGACTTCCTCTCCACACCTCGCCTCGAAAAGTATAGTTCAAGAACCCTGAGCAACTTTTGGCAGACTGTGGATTGACCTGTGGATTCAGCCGCGGTTGCCGTGATTGCCAGGAGGAGGATGGTTCTGCGAGCTATGCAGGGAAACCAACTCCTTTGCTGGATCCAACAAAAAAGGAGTTCGGTTCTGAGAACTTTCTGGGACGCAGCGCAAGCATTTTGCATTCCAAAGGCCAACTTATCATGACTTATCAACTAGAAGGTGTTCTAAAGGGACCTCGAACTGGTCAATCTTTACCGCATGCGGATTGGATATCCCTTTGCTTGACAGGGGAACAAAGCTTTTTCAGGTTCCACGATGCCAAGAAGGAGCTGCTCAGTGCGGAGCGGAACATCCTCCGTGAGCTGGGCTTTGAGGCTTGAAGCAGAGTTGAAGAGTCTAACAGCGCATGTGTGTGCAACACGGAGTACTTTGGAAGGTACTTTGGACAGATTCACTTGCTTTTGTTTTGCGCTGTGCTCCACCAACGCTTGGAATTTAAGGCTTAGCTGCCAATGGTTTGGCACGTCGCTGATCACGTTGCCAGGTGAACTTGCTTTTGGACCATCCGCACAGGCTTGTTACTGCGAGCTCTGACCTGCTTTTAAATCGTTTAACATGGAGAGCTTTACAGTAATTTAAGGGGTGATTGATGAGTGTCACCCGAACTGGTCGTGACAGGTATGCCATCGAATATATCGAGCACCTGCAAAGACCTGCGGAGCTGGCCCAAAAGGCCAGTGCGAGAGCACGCGAGGAGATGAAACAAGAGAAGTGCGACTGGCCCAAACTTATACTGCTACTAGTAGCTTCTTGTTACTAGTAGCAAGGGCCTCCAACCTACTGGCGATGGCCTCCACCTGATAGCGTCCTTGTTACTAAGTACTGGAGAAACAAAGTTTGTGCAATTTTCTCAACAATCCAGCAGGTGTGGAATTACTTGAACGATTCGCTGCAGACCAGCTTGTGCTGCTCGCAGGGGTCTCAACCTGTGACAGAAGCAATTGCGGCAAACTGATATTTTTTTGTAACTAATGCTAATTCGAATTTCTAATAGTACGGCCAGGAGCCCCTAGTAGCGTCCTTGCTCCTAGTAGCGATGCCCTTTGCTCCTAGTAGCGTCCGATCGCTCCTAAATGCATCCAGCAAGCAGACAAGGCATCAACCTCAAAACATTGCCGGTGCGAGCTTGGTCTTAGCGTCAAAGGACCTTGGGGTGAACCTACCGTCAGGGAGCTCAGGATGTGCCGCATGTTGAAATGCCAATTGCACGCTGCCTTTGGTCAATTATTTTCTTTCAGGTCAAAGCCTCCTTGGTGCCGGCCTTGGGATTATGTGATGGGATATTGGTAAGTCATGTGCCCGAAAGTTTGTTCCCGTGGAGTGTAAGTTTGTTCAAGTTAGCCTGCGATGCAAGTCAGGTGGGAGACTTTTGGTGTGCAGATCAAGGAAACATGACGTGTCAGAAAAGGTAATGGCTTTCTTGACCAGGTTGACATACTTGGAAATATGAGGATTATGCTTTAACTGACAGGACGCAGAGCTTATCGCAAGCGAGATGGAGGGTTTGTACTTGAAGAAAGCACCGGAATATTTTGAGGTTCCAAGGCCGGCGGGGTCATTTTTCATATGTTTTTCAATCTTCGCACTGATCGAGAACATTGCACATAGAGCCTGACATGCCTGGCTTGGGAAGAATTCACAACAGTAGATTTCGGAAGCAAAGCAGCAACCATGGAAAGCTGAGCAGTCCATGTTTGCAGGCGGAAAAAAGAGGTATTTGAGCCTATGACGCCTTGCCCGTCACCCCCACCATGTGGGCCTGCGAAGTCACCTTCTGATGAGGTACAGTACGTGTCAATTTTATTGGACAAGTTGCAAGGCAGGTGATGCATCAATGCGCATTAATCAATCCACTTACAAACGCCCGGTTCAGAGTATTTTTTAGTATCACTGGTAAGAGGTCGGAAGGGTTCACCTTGAAGGTCTAGAGAGAATTTCCGAGGGTGAGCTGCATAGCCTATACCTGAATGATGTTGACAGGAGGACCATGTGGATGAGGGAGAAACTGCCCTGTCCCGCCAGGAGCCGACGCCTCTCGAGCAAGAGCACATATAAATTCATGTCATTTACCCAGTTGTCTTGTTGCACTGCCATGCTCGTAGGCTTGTAGCAGACTTCAGATGAACAGCAACAAAGATCCCAACTAAATTGATGGATCATCGTGGATTGCTCATCATGGTTCCAATCTGAAAAGCACCTGTTCAAGCAAAAAGGGGTGCAATCTGTTATAGAGACAGAACGGCCAGGATAGCACGATCGACTACGAGCGATTGGCGGAGGTCATTGCGGAAAGCCAGACACTTGGGCCAAGCTGACAAGAGGTTGTTTGCGTTGCCTTGAAATCTGCTTGAGACCGTGTGCGCGCCGATTTGGAGATGTATATATATATATATGTTTCAGTCTTCACAATTATGAATCGTAGCATGTTCTCAGTTGATGTATGTTCATATATTTTCTGGGCAATCAACATTGCACAAACCTCAGATGCAAATGACAATGAGTAGGTATGTGTTGCACACAATTTTGAGTTCTTTATCAAATCTTGAGCAAATTACAGCTCAAAGACAGTCTTCTCAGTCAACAATGCTAAAGCACGTTCCTTTCTCCAACATTCCTCCCTTTTTCGAAGCACAAAGGTTTTCCATACCACAATATGTATGCTCAATTTGAGCTCACACACCTTTTCAGGTGAAACTGACTTTGCCAAATGCCCAGCAGGCAGCCCGCCAGGCCTCGTTCAACTTGCAGATCAGAGGATTCGTTCAACTTGCATCTTTACGGTGTGAAGAGGTGAGGAGTTGAAGGAGACACAAGAGAAGCAGGAGGCAAGACCTGCCCAGGACCAAGATCCTGCCAACCCTCCTTTGAGTATTTTTTCAACATGCATAGACTTTGCAGATTCACTATGCCCAGGATCACCATGACCGAGGTGAGCGAGCTAAGGACAGAACGAACGAAGTCAAGACAAATACAAGTCCATCAACTCGAGTGCTTCAACTTGCCTGTGACTAGTGACTAGTGTGTGCTTAGATGTGTTTAGGTGGAAGAAGTGAAAGTCACTTGAACAGATGTTACATGGCAGTATATCGCCTGGTGTTAACAATTTCAATCTGTGACCTTCCGCCAGGATCGCCGAAAGCGAGACCGGGTCAGTGAGAGTTGCGACTTGAATCAAACACTGTACCTTTGCAGCTTGTGCATAAATGCAGCGGAGCTTTATCTTCTGGATTATCACTACGTGACATAGGACATCATAGAACAAAATCACATATACATTTGTATATATATATATACATATATATTGTAATATGTGTATACATAAACAATACGAGTCGAGCATTTCTGCAGAGGACGATTCACCACCTGCAACATGTTTTCATAGCCTTGAGGAACTTTGCGCATTGACTGATTTGAGTCTGGTGAGTCGTTTGATTCTGATTTGAGTCAACGAGTCGTTCTTAGGCTCACAAAGCCCGGTGAAGCGAAAAAGTGTGAAGAAAGCACCAGAGGCGGCAGAAGACTCATGCGGGTCTCGTGTCTGGGACGAGAGCAATGATCTCTATTGGCATTTAATGTGCAAAGTGGTGGTATATGAGATCCCAAGTATAAAGGGCCTTCGCTGATTACATTTGATATCAAGCAAACACACTCTCTAGGTGCCAATCTTATTTCTACTAATTATTAATTGGATTCTTTTTGGAATTATATATTCTATTGACACTAGGGAGATGTCTTGGCAATTGTGTCTGACAGGCGAGCAGAAAGGGCAAGGATGGGAAAGAGTCTCGACGAGAGCGAGAGAGAAGGTCAAAACGCGCCCAGCTCAGATGACCTTCTTTCTTTTTCACAGGTCATGTATGCAACAGCCTTGCATTTACGGCCTTTGTTTTGCACAATATTGTCGCATGGCGGATGATCAAAGAACAAAGAGGAATGCAAGAGAAAGAAAGACACTTGAACAACTACATAGTGTGGGACTTCCTTGACTTTACACAGCGACATGAAGTATATATTGTAATTAGTTCATTCAGTGTTCTTCCTCGTTGTACCGCCTTCAACTCGTATGGGAAAGTGTAACACAGAGTTACTGCATGATATGAAGCACTGCGAGATGATGCGAGATGCAAGATTGGCAAGATGTCCAAGAGTGGACCATTTTCCGAAGAATTGTCTTGATAAAGTATGATGCTGTAGAGTTGCCTTCGATGACCAAGGCTCCAACTCTTCAGAGCTGGGGCGCTGAGCCGGGGTGAATTGCATTTTCCGATGCCTCCTTGGAAAGCATCAGAGACACTCCTTTGAAGCCCGAAAATCTACAGCAACAATAGAAACAAGGTCCTGCTTATGGACGGACAGACAGACAGACAGGGTGATCTATTTTTGGGCCGTTGTTCCAAAAGTGCAGGACGTTCAGACAGACGACTCACGACCAAGGTCGAGAAAGAAGAAGCGGTGACTGGTTGACGCAAGAGCGAGCACAAAGCTGCAAGCCACAAGCGAAGAAACATAACTCGAGAGCGAGCAAATGGTGTGCTCAATCGCACGCGCAAGTTTGTTTCGTTGGATGTGATTCCTGGCTTGCGGGGCCAGTGATTCTTGCACTCGGAGCTCTGTTTTTCGACATGTGCTCAGCCCTACTTTTGCTTGTTTGGCCAGACCTACTATGCAGTGCATGCGAATGAGAAACGCACCTCTGTTTGGGTCTTAGATTCAGAAAAACACGGCAGACAGGGTCAAACATGCTTCAAGGATTTCAAGCACTTTGAGACACGAGCTCCTGCGAGTGTTGCTGTAACTAATTATTCCAGCTCACCAGGAGAACATGAAGGGACAAACAAGGCTTGCAACGACTCATGTGACACGTCAACTCAGGTCACAATCAACCAGAAGTCCCGTTTTGGTATAGGACCTGACAGCGTGTGGCGTGTGCGACCATGTGTATCAAGCTGCAGACTGTGATTAGAAGCATTTTGGTAATCTCTCGAGGCTTACTGTATCTTGGACTTGCTCAGGCTCCCCCCCGAAAAAGGATTCTTGCTGATGCTACTCGCCGATTCTTCAATTCCATTGTGTGCCAGGAGATGTCTACTTCCTTGCCGTGTCAATGGGCATCTGTGAGGTGATTGAAGATGAGGCGCACAAGATTTGCTTTGTCGGAAGTTGGAAGCTATCAAACGCTTGATGCTTGAGTTGATCTTGATTGTGCATTGAAGGCTTTGTGTGAATCACAGTGCACATAGGGAGAAGCAGCGAACTTGGCGCACTGCATTTTGATGGCCAGATCAAGCGGATAAGCAGCTCCAGCATCCACTTGGAGAGCGGCAGAAGAGTAGAGGCCAGCTGCAGCCCACTAGTGCATAGGTCGGCATGGGTCTATCATCTGGTAGCTGAGTGACATGTTGGTTGAATGTGTTTTGGAAATCCCTGGTCCCACAGCTTTCATCATTGTCATTGTGAACTTAAACGTTTGAGGTGGATGTGATTCTGAAGCTCTATGGCTTCAATGGAAATTTCGATGTGGATCGTTTGATGTCTGGATGCTGAGAATGCTACCTACAGCTCGATGCCTTGATGTTCTTTCTGGCGGACGGAACCGAGGAATGTGAAAACAATGACTGGCTTTTGGGTTGATGAGGACTCTATACTCTATATACTTATTATGCATCTTGCTGTACCTTTCTGTACTTGCTTCAGATTCGTTGAGCGTGGAAGCAGTCTCCGAGCGAGTGGAGGATTTTCGTCGCTATTTGATCGCAGAACCCATCGGTGCTGGGCTCTCAGCCGTCCGCCACAAGTCAAGACGTGCATGAATGTGTAAGACCTAAGGCTTGAAAAGAAGGCTTTCTGCACTTTCCTATTGTACTTCTTATATGAATGTAGTAGTACGGGCCAGCATGGTCCCAACATGGGGGTGGTGGATTAAAGGACATCGAACACAGCACCTCTCAGAACAATCAAATGCTCACTCCAGCAATTCTATCGGCCGTTGCTGAGCAAGATCTCAGGTCAATGCCACCAATTTTGGTGGCACCAGCTTTTCCCCGGGCGTGCGTGCATGGGTCAACCACTCAGTGGGAAACATCCTCAAACTTGCAATCTTTGCCTTGGTGTACTCAGGTGGACTATGTGGCGTACTTCCTGTGGTGCTCCACACAGCCTGCTGTTATGCAAGAGGAGCATCCTGCTTGACCCACTGCCATCAAATAAGCTGTTATTCTAGCACTAATGACTAACCTTTGGCAAGACACGAATGTTTTATATACATGGTTCTGTTTCGACTCCAATTGTGGTCAATGGAAGGGCATTATAAACGCAAAAACAGTAACAGCTGTGTGATGGTATGCTACAATGTTTGACGGACAAGCAAACCATAATCTTGCAAGCCTCTGCCAGTCAGCTCTGGTTGAATCGTTCTTGCCTCTTTGTCACATACCGGGCTCAGGTACCCCAAAGACTGGGCGAACTTGCGAGATTGCGGTAGGAAAGCCTAGGAACGGTGACCAATCCTGACAGAAAGTCCTGCGTGTGGTGTAAACCGAAGCTTTAGTTTCAACAACATGGTGTAGCTGTTGTTTCTGCAAAGTGCCGCTTATAAGATAGACAGCATATATTATGTCAATGTACAATTGTTCCTTAAGTTCCTTAAGTAAGGTAAAGCTCTCAAGCCCAGACTTGAGCATTGAGGAAAATCGTTCTATGTTGACAAGTTGAGCATAGCAGCACTTTCAACTTTAATCTATGTGGCACGGCATAACGCATCTCTTACTTGTACCTGCACGAAGCTGAGTAGAGAAATAATATTGCCTCGCAGATTCGCAAACGAATTTGGGCAAATGAGACCAGCCGCATGACTCAGTATCTTGATTGAGGCTTGTTGCCAAAACACTCGGAAGAACCAGAGTATGACAGACCTGCTTATGCTGGGATCTCAAGCTTTGTAGTACAGTTGCGAAGTTGCAGCGTCTTTCGTTGTTCCAAATCTCAAAGTTTAGAACTCGTGCATTTGAGGTCATCGATGCCCGTCACGGGACACAGACGGGCATGGGCATCAGTCGGGGATCCCAGTGCCTAGCAGATGCCTAGCAGATGCCCCGCAGATGCCCAGCAGATGGAGTAGAATGATGAATGATGAATGATGTAGAATGTTTGATCACCATTGGAGCAGCTTTTGGACAAGTCAGGGAGTAACATCACCTTGTTCCACAGATTCTTCCAGCCATTCCGACACACGCCATAGTATTGGCAACGCACTTGAAACAACTAGGCTGGCAGAGGTGCCAGAAGGAAAGCTTGCTTGTAGCTAAAATGTTCTGAGTCTGAAAGTAGCATAAATGTAGTACACTTACTGTAAATTATAGTAGTATCCACAACATAATATGCATACATAGTGTGTTTGGCACGAGCACAGTGCACGAAAACGCTGGCTGAAACAGATTGTTTTGTGGCACTCGGTGCCACTCATACCTGCTAAGAATGCCGAATGCTTCAAACTTCATGCTTCCGCTTCTAGGCGCTTCAACGCCTGCAATAGGTGAGAGCCACATGGTGGGAGCCCCAAAGCGCAGCAGTGAGACATGCTCAGCCCCAAGAACAATGCATTTTTTCAAGTTTTTCGAGCGTTTCAGCATGACAGATTTGAAGTAGTGAAGTAGTGTTATCCAAAGCCATCCAAAGCCCAAGTGTGTTTGCAGTAGTCAGTAGTTATATACAGCGGCGTTGCTGTGGAGCTGTGGTGGCTCTCATCAAAAACGTCTAAGACATATCAAGCAATTGTCAGGGCTTGGGCATGGTGAAGCGACAAAAGCAGCTCGAATGCCATCCCACCAAAAAGCTTGCTCCTCAGAACCCTTGGATTAAGCCCCCAAGCTTTGGAACATGAAAGGAATGGATTTGTGATTTGTCACGCCACACATGCTTTGGCTCACACAGGTTCTTGGCAGAATGCTCTGAAGAGTGGGCGGAATATGGAAAGAAATTCAAGGTGGGTGACTTCCATCGTGGACAGGAAGGGAGGTCGTGAGGTTGTGAAGACTGGCAAGTGGTCCACAATGGTTAAACTAGGCCTTGCCAAGTCACAAAAGTTTGTTGGCTTCGTGTTATTAATCATGAATATCCACCCTATACGATTCCAGACACACGTTAGTCATTTTTACTTGGTGTTGATGGATGTTGACGGTGGGATTCAGAAAGACCTTAAAGTGTTTGACCTTTTTTTCCCACTGCATGTTTCCTTGGCCTGTCTCGAGACATATTACGCATCATGTGACTAACATGGCAAGCCATGCGTATGTGTATGTTTGCTATACTGCAACAGTTTTCTTTGCAACCCCGGCGCCTCCTGCTTGAGGAGCTTGGAGCTCCGTTTGATTGTCCACCTTATCCGTACACGCTCAAGTTCGTAGAGGACGAGAGGGAGAAGACAATGAAGGGGAATACGCCCACTGTATAGCGTATACTGTACAACCATGTACGAACTAACTAGCAAGATCAATATTTGTGCAAAGTTCAGCAGCACTTGAAATCTACGTCGTTGGTCAGATGGAAGGAGCTTCTTGCGCTGAATGACGAGGAGGGCTTGTCGGCATCTTGGAACATGGCGAAAGCCAACCTGAGAACTAGCTTGTCAGTGTGAAGCAAACGGACACCAGATCGAACCAATCAAACATGTTTTTCCACTTCAAGATGTGTGTGCGTATGTGTGGACGGTTAAATTGTTTGCCGTAAAATTGACTGCTCTGAGATGCCCTGAGATACACAGGGAACCAATCACACCTTCAGACAACTTGAGGCAAAAAGCAGCAAGGCAGGGCTAGGACCATTCTCTTCCAGCTTGGACGAGATGTTAATGAGTGCGGCCGCTGTGAAAGCCAGCATTTGTTTGTACAAAGCATGTTCGCTTCAAGCAAAAAGTGCGTACTTGTACCGTGAGTCTTACCCAGTCTCGTTTGTGTGGGGCTTTCCAACTTCAGCTAGATTTGGGAGCCATCATCCAGATGTGCAGTTTCTCTTCGGTGAAACCATGCACTGAAATATTAGCTTTCAATATTGTTTGTTCAACATCGCTTTGCAAACTACAGAATACTTCCATAAACCGTCCACACCGAATTGGGCCACTGGACTGTAAACTGTAGACAAGTCCAACTGCTTTGTGTGCACAGAGCCACACTTCTCCCTGACTATGCTGCAGCGAAGAAGGAAGAAGGTTTGTTCGTGACCAAAGAATCTAAAAATCCACTTGAGTGTGTGGCAGGTAGGCCACAATAAGAAAGAGGGAATCTAATTCATGTGCTTCAGCCCTCGCACGTGGCAAACAACCTTTTGCCATGGGACGGAGCAAAGTGGCAGATGGCACACGGAGGCGGAACAGTGCACGCTTGTTTGTTTTGAGAAAAGAAACCACCTGACCTTCCCTTTGAATGCTTCACATGTGTCCTTCAATTTTCATTAGTGAACACGCATCCACTCAAGGCTGAAGTGCTTGGATGTAAACATAGAAAACCCATGAAAAACCTATCCAAAACATTGTAAGGGCAAATTGGTATTGGAAAGCTGAGCTCCTTACTGATGTGTCGCATTGGTGGAAGGTGCAGAAACCTGTCCTGTGAACCCATCCAGGCATATCAAAAGCACACCTGAAAACATGATGCATAACCGACAACTCTCTTTGAGGGTCCAATCCTAAGACTATTCATGAGTCATGAATGGGTTCTGGGCCGATGCGAAGAGAAGAGATCCCCAATCCATGGAATCCATGTCCATGCAACAATATGTTTGTCGCACCCCATAAGTGCCCAGAAGAGACATAGATCAGTGGCCTATTTGGCTATTGGGACAGCTCAATGGGAGGGCTGCACTTTTCTTCTATGATGTTAGGATTCGAATATCAGGCCTTCTAATGTGTTTTTCCAGCGGCAGGCATCAAGGTTCTGCTTCAGCTGCAAGTTCCGTACAAGTGCCTTGTAGGGGATGGACGAGAGCATGGCACCCATTCGCATTGACGTATGTCTCGTAAGCAGTCGCAGCATTTGTTTGACGGCTTTGCCTGAGTCACGTGTCAAGGAGCTGAAGGTGTTTGCTCAGCGTGCTTTCAGAGCTGGGGTATTGAGACTCTTCTCAGCCAGTGGGGCGCTTCTGGATCCCAGCAGCACAGTTCAAGATGTTGGTCTTCAGGATGGAGATGTCATCACAGCCGTTGCAGAATCCGTCCAGCTGGCTGCAAACCCCTGGGGTGCCACCATGACTGCCTTTTCTACGAGTGGACCTGTTGTAGCTTGGGGGGACGAGAGTAGTGGAGTGCCTAACAATCTTAAAGGTGTCCAGCAATTCAAACCACGGCGAATGCATTTGCTGCCATTCTCCAAGATGGCTCCGTTGTTTCATGGGGCCGCCGAGGAGGAAATAGTGATGAAGTGGCGCACAAGCTAAAAAATGTCCAAAAGATTCAATCCACCCACACAGCTTTCGCGGCCATAATTTCAGATGGGACGGTCATTTGCTGGGGTCCTCCTGAGGATGGTGGTGACAGCAGTGGAGTACAAGACCAACTGACAGACATACAAGACATCCAAGCAACATTGTACGCTTTCGCCGCTATTCGAGGAGATGGATCTGTTGTTTGCTGGGGAAACCCGGCGAATGGTGGAGATTGCAGCAGCGTTCAAGACCAGCTGAAGAATGTGCAAAGCATCCAGGCGAACGCCTTTGCTTTCGCGGCAATTTTGGCAAATGGACACGTTGTCGCATGGGGATCTGACTATTTGGGTGGAGATCCAGGCGCTAAGTACTGCCGTCTAAAGAATGTTTGTCAGATTCAGGCGTCCGAAGCAGCTTTTGCAGCGATCCGTGAAGATGGTCAAGTCGTTGTGTGGGGTGCGAGTCCAAATGGTGGCGATGCTTCCAAGGTCGAGCTGAACAAACCAGTTAAGCAAATTGCAGCTACCAGTTGCGCTTTTGCCGCCATTTGCACAGATGATACTGTCATCACTTGGGGTCTTTCCTTGCGCGGTGGGGACAGTCGCGCTGTTCAAGACCAGCTCAAGGAGGTCCGGCAGATTTGTGCAAGTTGGTCTGCATTTGCTGCCATCGTCTCCGACGGACGGGTTGTAACCTGGGGACATCCTGACAGGGGAGGCGACAGCAGACATGTTCAGGACAAGCTGAAAAATGTGCAACATATTCAAGCAAATAGAAAGGCTTTTGCTGCCATCCTAGCAGACGGATCTGTTGTTACCTGGGGTGATCCAGAATCAGGCGGAGACAGCAATATAGTCCAGGATCAGCTTGAAGAAGTCCAAGCAATCCAGGCGTCTGAATTTGCATTTGCTGCCTTATTGGCAGATGGCCAAGTTATTTCCTGGGGTTTCAGCGACCACAGCCTTGCACAGGAGCAGCTGGAGACTCTGTAGGTCTAGCAGCACTATCTTGGCCCAAAGTTGCCAGAATGTGCGTGGTCTCGTTTAATGTGTGAGATCAGATCAACGACAGGCATCACCGCCAACAACTTCGAGCGCTTGCTTTGCAGGTTGCTGACTGGTTCGCTTCACCATTTGTTTCTGCTTCTGTGCTTGTGCGCCCTGAGCCAGGAAGGTCAGCGTCCCTGGTAGCGCGACTGCGTTCAGCTGCCAGAGGCATCAGCAAGGGAAGAAGGGAAGGGCAGGAAGGGGAGCAGTCCCAGAGGTTTACAATATTATCACTACTATTTGTTTATTTGTTTAATCCATCATTGTATGAAATTATGATTTTGTGGTTTGCAGATCTTGCAGCTGTTGGCATTCTGACAACTTCGGACTTTGTGAGGCCAAGGCAAAGAGGATGGAAAGGCCGCTGCCAAAGAACTGCTGTCGCCAGAGGTTTTGTACCCTGGCGACAAATGCGAATGGGAAACGTGCAGGAGTAGAAGCTGCAGATCATTCATTTTTCAAGTGCTTTTCTTGTTTGATGCTCCATGAGCATGCTTCAATACATTTGACTCTCCGATACTCTGAACAGCCCAGTACAGTGTTGATGGATTTCCACTCCAAAACGCCCACACTCCGCATTCGTACTGCAGAGCACTGGTACCAATCAACGCAAGAGCAACATCAAGGAATTAGGATTATTACTACAGTAGTAGCACATTCAAGCAACAGAGGTAGCACATTCGTGGAGCAGCTGCAAAGTGGCGTAACCGCCCAAAGTAGCATGCAAACTGCTGCCATAAGTGGCAGTGCGCCGAAACTACAAAGCAGCCAAGTAGCCCATTGTAAGTCCATTCGTCCGCATGTCCACCTGGCCTCGTGGCCTTTCATGCTCCATGTCAATGCAACGACGTCCATTTGGATCATTCATTGTTCAAGGTTGTCTCAAGGCTTTGCCATTCTCATACATGTCCAATCAAGATAGATGCTGCCTTTCCTTTCTTCAGGCCGACGCTGCCGCCACGGCAGTTGTCACTCACAACCTGGTGCTTGGCACGACTTGAGGCATCAACAGACAGTTACCAAGCGGATAGCCAACAGTTTTGAACTCAAAAGACACTGCTTGCAAGTTGGGTGACGACATCAGGCATCAGGGTCATGAAATGGATTGGGGATGGAAAGGATATATCGATATCTAACAAGGGCTGCATTGTTGGTGCTGGCACGCCGGTCGAATCACTCGCATGCCAGTCACATAAACAGTTTGACTTGGAGATCTTGGAGAGGCGAATGGCCTGGCGCTGGCCAGCGGACATGTCCGAGCACGCGCCCACGAGTTTGATGCCCACGAGTTCGGAGCTTGGCTCTCTCGCACTAGGTACACGCCTTGCGGCCGGACTGCTTCTTTTTTTTGGATACTGTGGACGTGGATGAGGGTGTTACCGTTACCTCCAATATCCTCCAATGTTTGGCATTGGTACGAATAAAATACTGCATCAAGATGAAAAACAAGTTAGTACCAATGACCTTTAGCCAACAAACATTGAGGATGGGGAGGCGCTGCGTCCTTCCCCTCAAAACCCCATCCCGCGCCACAAAATCTGTATATATATATATATATACACATGGTATGTCTATGCCCTGGCCTGCCACAAAATCCAGATGTTTACGCAATCTACTCCATGTTCCATTTCGGTGGCTGGAGAATGGAGCAACTTACTGCAGTCATGGTCTGGCTTTAGATGGGCGAGACGAATACACGCACACACACACACACTTATGGACATGCGTACTGACTTGACAGCGGTGCCACACGCCTGCCTAAGAAACCCAAATCCTGAAAGGTCCAGGAAAGTGCTTGACTGCAGCTGCATTAGCCCTTTACAAGAAAGTTCAAAATTTCGAAGGAAGCAGGTACGTCGGTGAGCGTCCCCACCGATATCAGTGTTCAATGCAAGCCTCTTCGTTGGGCTTGCATGAACAACCAGCCCCCCTGCTTGAAACAAAACGAAAACGAAAACAATTCAAAAGAATCCCTGTGACTACAAGGGGCACACACACACACACACACGCCTTCCGGAGGGGAGGCGTGAAGCTAAGGTGAGGGCCAATGTGCACGTGTGCGCGCACAAGACAAAAGAATGAAGACATGACAGGAAGACGAGACGAGACAAAGGTGCGTGTGGCTGAAATGAAAAGGGAACCAAGTGCACAGGGACACCCGATGAAGCCCACCTCATTGTAAAGACCTGGGCGACCTGAAACCTGTGCTTAAAGGTATGTAGAAGTGCACGTACACACTAAGGCCGGGACCAATGTGCACGCAAACGAAGAAAAGGATGAGATGAACAGACATGAAGACAGGAGGACATGAAAGAAAAGAGGGAACAAAAGTGTGTGAAGGGGAAGGGATGAAAGGGGAACCAAATGGAGGGGACGAGAACCGATGAGACCAAACCTCATTAGAAGCACCTAGGGACTTGCCTCGTTTGAATGTAAGCGCTGTGCGTGCACCTGAGGTGGGGACAGGTTCCAATGAACCGGAAACTGGTTTTGACCGCTGTGGTCACCTTGTGCCCTGCCGAAATGGCTGGCTGCTTTGACTGCTGCGGTCACGTAAAGGCATGAGCCAACTTGGAATTCCAAAAATGAGACAAACATCTAAGTTCTTGTGGCATGAGCCATCTGCTGTCCGCTCCGGACGCGTACATCTCCAGGCAGGGGAGATAACGACAGACACCCGTTCGACGGGTCCACGGGAGGCACTCTACGGGCTCATCCCGGACTCTCACTGGGAGAGACACACTTATGGATATGCGTACTGACTTGACAGCGGTGCCACACGCCTGCCTAAGAAACCCAAATCCTGAAAGGCCCAGGAAAGTCCTAAAGAGCGTGGGGGTCTTCAAAAGGAAGTGTGGCCCAAAGCGCGAGGCGAAGCCGATCCGACAAAGTGACGACGTTCCGTGCGTGACTGCAGCTGCATTAGCCCTTTACAAGAAAGTTCAAAACTTCGAAGGAAGCAGGTACGTCGGTGAGCGTCCCCACCGATACCAGTGTTCAATGCAAGCCTCTTCGTTGGGCTGGTACTTGCATGAACAACCAGCCCCCCTGCTTGAAACAAAACGAAAACGAAAACAATTCAAAAGAATCCCTGTGACTACAAACTCTGTTCTTTTTTTCCTGCCGGGAACCTGTAGATAGGTCATGATCGCAGTAAGTCTCAATTTCCTTCTCCAGCCACCACAGCGTAACGTAGAGTAGATTTCTACGGACAATCAATTCATGATGGCAGTAAGTTTCCCCACACAGAGAGACAGTTATTTCTAGGTTGTGCTGCCTGCTTTGTGTGCTACTGGTTTTGCCAGAAAGCATTGTTTTTCTGTGAGCTGCCGGTGTTTGCGTGCGAACAAGCCTGGACAAGCTTTCGGCCGCTGCACTGTTTTTAAATCCTGGGTTAGACCTAGTTTTTAGTAAATAACACTTTTTTGATCTGAACAAGTTCTTTTTGATCATTGGGTATTCGTTTTGGATCCTTCTACTCCAAGGCTGTCCATGATGGTGTGGGCTTTTGCCTCAAGGACGAAGGCGGGGGCTAGAATTGCACACATTAGCTGACTTGGAATTTCATTATGTTGTTCCACTATATGCGCAGGCAAAGGTGGAGGAGGACGTAGATCACAAGGAGCCGTGATCAGGCGTTGTTGAATTACATCTGGAAATGTTGGCTGTCCACAGAAGAGTTTCTTGGCAGGAGCTGGGAAACGTGCTGATCAACGAAGCTTTGAGTGAAATGGTTGCAGCTAAAGGATTTTCCCGCTTTGATGCACAAACTGAACCATGAGACAATAGCAACTGCAAGTGTTTTTGTTTTCACTCAAGGAAAACTTCCTGAAGCATCCATTGCCAATCTGGGCAACTTGCTCCTTGTCAAGTTTGGAGCTTCAGCATGCCTTGGTACAAATCCCCTTGAATCAACATCAAAACAAACTTACGGACCTAGTCACACTTCCAGGTTCACCACACAGTGACCTGCACACGTTTGTTCATTTGACACATTAAGGTTTTGTCCGTGTAGATCAATGTTTGTGACATTGTGAGGGATATGACACTTGAAAGTGGAACAGTCAGTGGTTTGGTATCGGTCAAGACGCGGCAATACTGCTAGATACGTTTGAAGCAATGGATTGACATCATTCAATGATGACAAGGTGTGCAATGGGCGTTGCATATTTTTCTGCCAGGCTGTGGGCGAGTGCCACTCTCGGGGTCAACCTTACAAGCTTGGCAGCGGCAGCTGCCGTACTGATGAGCAAGCCATCGTTTAAGGAGGCGTCGCCCCAAGGCCACGGATGTCAAACATTTGGTGGAAGAATGACAAATCTACAAAAGGAAGGTAAGGCCGCAAGATCTTAAAGGGCCTGACCTTCCTTTTTTCATTTATTCCTGTGACTTAACGTAGATGTGGCCCAGAAGAAAATAGACCAGACCCAGGGGCGCAGCGGTATCAAATTCTTGCACCGCAGTCCCATGTCCTTTCAATGACATGACATGACACTTGCAGCTCCTTACAACGCAGGAGTTGCTAATATGGCATGGGCCTTGGCGATTTCCGCTCTAAAATCTGGAAGCTGCCAAGCATTGAGCCTTTGGCGGGCATTGAGACAGAGCGTCGACAGATCCCTTCGACGGATCCCTTTGGAGTCAAGTCAGTCAGAAAACCATGCATGGTTTGATATGAAGTGCCTTCAAAATGTGCGGTGATTGTGATTGCACAAGAACGTCACCGCATTGATGTGCGGGCACACTCCAATCTCTGGGAAATGATATGGGACTCACCAAAAAAACGATACTGTACCCTTTAGCAAGGTTCCAAAACATTGGGAAACGATAGGGGACTCACAAAACAGAGGATACAACAGCCACACATAATAAATGTTGTGAATTTGAGGTAGGATCACATTCTGTTGAGCCAGGTTGTCACACTATGTTGTGTCTGCCGCCATTTGGCTCCTAGGGCCCTTGAGCTATACCGTGCTCGCTTTCGCACTGAAAAGAGCGTGTGGACAGTACGATTCCGATTGCTACCGATATTGGTAGCGGAGCAGGTGACGGCCTGACTCCGGCACGTACTGATCCAGGTCATTAGAATCGTAGAACATCAAGCCTGAGCTTGCTTTTTTGCGTGCTTTCGCTTGCCCTCTCTGATCCCGCTTGGGACAGAGGCCCAGAATAGACTGCTCACCCCGAGCGGTCAGCGCCGGAATCGTCGAACATGTCCATTGCCGGGCTCAAGTTTCATTCGGGTAGCACTGGTGACAGGGTAGGCGACCCCCTTGAAACCAAGAGTGGGTCTTACATCTATTGGGGAGATCCTGCATCGTTTCATGATTGGAAATTCCGCACTGAACCCCGCATTAAGCTGTACGACCAAGCCCAAACGCAACAGGACAAGAAACAGGATCCCGATGTTGGACCTGCCGATGAGGGAGAGCCTTGGCCTGCGCGAAAGAGTTGCTTGCTCTCCTCCAAGGCTCGAGGGAACACATGATTGCGTATCACTTCGATGAGGCGCTCTAGTCCCCCTGGACGAGCTAGCGTCTCTAGACCTAAGTCTCTGGCAAGCAAAAAGGCGTCTCCCCTTAGACTCTACGATCTTGTTCACTAACACGCTTCGATCAATGATGCTTGACTTGTCTGACTTGACGGACGAAGCCTTTGGTGAAGTCGCCTTAGCCTTCGACTTGGGAGAAGCAGCAGTTTCACGCGGCTCAGGTTCGAATTCACCTGGATAACGCCCAGGCGAAGGGAATACGTATCCTTCTTCAGACTCTGGTGGCAGAGACAAGGTGGACCGCTTGCTAGACAGCCTACAGAAAGCATGTTGTCGTACACTCAGCGTCGACGACGCTGGTGGACTTTGCTGGTTGAGCTTGACCCCACGATGATGATCTCAGAAGCTTTCCGCGCAGAGCTGTTGTTGGAGATGTCAGGTAGAGATCCTCGCGGTGAAGGCTTGCCGCAAGAGCGATGACTTTGAAGGCGCTGCGCGAGTTTTTGTTGACAACTATAGTGGAATCCATCTTCGTGAAGGATCCCGATCCTGGGCAGGACGGGGAAATCAGCCTCAGACAGGTAAAGGAAAAGGGTACCAAAAGGGGTACCAAGGCAAAGGCAAAGGTAGCCAAAATTTTCGAACAGGTTACATCGCCTCCTATCCCGATTGGGAAGGAGAAACCGAATGGATGTGATGTTCCACTTGTCTGGGGCTTTGCTTTGCATCCAGGGCTTTGGATGCAGCATTAAGTTGCAAAGGTTTTGCTCAGCAGGTTCAATGGTTTGTGGCCATTGATGAGTCGATGAGTTGCAAAGGTTTTGCTGAGCAGGTTCAATTGTTTGTGGCCATTGATGAGTTGCAAAGGTTTTGCTGAGCAGGTTCAATGGCTCGATGTGGTCATTGATTTAGGATCAATGCTAGCTCACCGTGTGAAACTCAATGAGCCAAGAGAACACAAAACCAATATATGTGAAATATATGTTCTTTTTGGTGTGGGTCCAGAGTGTGGTGCTTTTGCATACTCGCTTCGCTTGGCTGCCATTTCTGAACTAGCCGGGGGCGGGTGTACACGCGAAGTGCTGGAGGCCATGATACTGATAGGGTTCACAGTTTTTTCGCCTACCACTCCCGACCACTCAGTCAACACGCCAGGCCAGGCTTTTTCTTCGCTTTGCGGCAAGACCTAAGGCTTTGGCCCTGTGCGCATACATTGACATGTGACATGTGTATTGATTCTGTGTCATTTGGGCGCCACAGTGAGGTGACAATGAGCAACGTTGATGCATGAGACCTGGATCCAACCCAAACCATTTTGAACTGGGGAGTTCTGACGCTTTCATGCCCCAGGCGATCTTTCGATCATTGGCTCGTTCAAGATCTCCCCGTCGGATGGCCATGGTCCCCAGATCCCCTTTGGAATTGCTACAAACAAAGTTACTAAGATATGTATCTACTGGGTTCTGTAACTTAGGCCGGGCTTCATCGGGGTCATTCAGCTTTGCATCGACAGGCAAGGATGATTTTTGTTGATGATATGTCTACTTGTTTTGGGGTGCTACTTCGACCCTGTGCAGAACGCTATCATGGACTGGTCTCCTTTGACCCAACCTTAGACCATTGATGCAAAAGTCGTGCTAGCCACAAGTCAAGTTTTGACGCGTCGTCCAGGACCAAGCAGTTGGCAGAGCACAAACGAGCGGGCTCTGGAACTTTGTTGGAGGACTCAATTGATTCTTATGGATCTTCTGCTCAGTGCTCATTCTAGCTCCTGCCTTTGGTATTGAAACGCATCGCCAGGATCAGAGCACTTGTTCTGACATGGGTGATTCTCCTGAATCTTCACAAGAAGAGGCCATTTGCTTTAGAACTTTAGAGTAAGATTTCATCATTCATAGTCTATTTTCAACTCCCGTGCCATCATCCCACATCCCAAGTGCTCTTCGGCGCAAGCTTCGAGCGACCGCAGGCTCGCAACAAGAACTTCGCCCAAGAGGTTGAATTTTCACTTGCTGTTCTGAAGGAAGTTGGGGGCTCAAAAGCACAAAGAGCTCGAACCTTTGAGTAAAACACAAAGTTGGGGGCCCAAAAGTAAGATCAATGTTTTCCAGGTAAGACGCTTTGCTTCTTCGGTAGATGCCATCGAGAAGCCCGACACTGCGATCAAGAAGTTGTGCATCATCATGAATGAAGCCGTCGACCAATTGCGGGTTGAGGATTACACCCTGCACTTTCTAGGGGAGTTAGAAAGTGACTATTGACCTTGACAAAGATTGGGGCATGGCGTTTGTCTTGAAAAGCCAGCATTCTTGTGCAATTTCTGCATGCGAACAGTTCTTTTGAACCAACTGTGAGTTCTAGTTGAACATTGTGGATTGTTTCTGCAGCCCTGTTTCCATATTGTCTTGCGCCGCTCTCACCATGCCCATCCTGGCTGATGTTGATGACCTGAGTGAGCCGGTTGCCCAGTCAACACACACTGTCAACAGTGAGTTCAGACACCCTGTCAACACACAATCCTTGCCCTTCTGCTAGTAGGTGTGGCAGTGGTCAAGATGATCCACCAAAGCGAAAAAAGACCAGGGCCAATGTCCCAGCACTCTTTGCAACCCCAGAAAGAGTCATGTTGCATCAATATGTATCAATGTAAAGCGTAGCAATATTTGAAATTGAACATGGAGTGGCAATGTGATACATACACTATGCCGTATAGGATCATTTCCTTTGAAGTTTACATTCCATTACCCGTGCTCAGGCGCCAGGGCTTCCCAAGTTCGGCAAGCTGATTCGAGGGCGGTTGACGTCTTGGACCCCCAAGTTCATGCCGCAACCCAAAAGGACCAAACTCAGCGTTCGGCTTGTTACCGGGTCGCAAGCGTTCATGACCCCTTTTCAAGAGTTGTTTAAATCGAAGCGGCAATGCGCTTAGGTTGCAAAGAAGCCTCGCAAAGGGACAAAGTCCAAGTCAACACCGGTGCCCTCTAAGTTTCTGACACTCACATCATTTGGAACGATTCGCCCTCACCTCAGAGCGGGATGGCAACCAGTCGTTTGCAATGTAGAGTTGTGGATAACATAGTCGCTTCAGGTTGCTTTGGGAGCACCACTCGGGCAAACCTGAATTGTTTGACCGAGAGGGGGTGTCGGGACTGACTGACTTAGTGCTGCTTCAAACACTGACACCAGAAGAAGACTTCCAGATTTGCTCAACTTTTGCAATTGCTCCAGGACTGTTCCAATCAGATCCACTACTGGGCCGACTATCGTTCAGCATGCAAAAAACGCAACAAGAAACCGGGCAAGATCATCGCGTGCCACACTGCTGAGTATATGGCTGGTCCATCCCTCAACTGATGGCAACCTCAAGCGCATGACAAATGGACAAACGGTCAATTGTTTTTGCTATATGTTTCCCAACAGGGCTGCTTCTCTTTGTTTTGAAGGCTTGCCGCGGGGCTGGTCAGACCCAACCCCTGGGTCTGTCAAAAGGAAGCCAAGTGGCATGTATCGCTGGCTTCGCGAGGATGAGGCGCAACCTGCGGCAACAGTCAGTTCAAGTGGCTTGAAACCTGCAGCCCAAGCCTGTGTCAGGGAACAAAGAAGCACCTCGTGGTATCTTGCTTTTCTGGTATATTGGGACTTGACCTTGGAGCATCACAGCCTGGAACTTATGGGATCTTCAATGTAGATAGATTCAACAAAACCTTTGGCCCACTTGTTCAATGTGGGTGGTTTTGAATGGTTTTGAACTTCGGGAAACACAGAAGTAGGAGTGAACCATCGTGAACCCAGGTTTGTGGAGCCAATAGCAATGGTCGGGGCCTACAGTACGCCTTTCACCTGATTTCGTGAAACAATCTTTTTTGAGGTCGAGTGCAATCAGTTTTGCCAGTCAGTGGCTGTTGCACGCATGGCGGACAATCTTGTCAAGACCGTGCCACTGTTCGATGATATTCAGCAGTTCAGCATGTCATCTTTGAGACCCAAGTACGGGTCTGCTGATGGTATTATGGGTGGATTTCCCTGCCAGGCACATTGTCACAGTCAGCGTAACTGTGTAGAACGCATGTCAGTGTGTCTTCCTGACCC